CGTATCCACGGAACCAACCACCCCTACTCCACTGATCACGCCGCCAGGCAGCGAAACCGCAACCGCCTAGCCGACGTTTGCCGTCCCAAGTTTTCCCGGCTGCTGAAGGCTCGATTCCTAGCTGACGGTTCTGCACACAGCAGTGTTGATGTTACGCGGCAGACGTAGTCTAGGGAGAAATCAAGCCCAGTACCATTATCTTGTTGCAAAACACTACTGCTGATGACGTCTGTCTTGAAGAAGATGTACACGCCATAGAGGTAAAGACCACATGTACCGCCGTTGTGTGTTTTCATCACAGGAGCTATACCCACGCGAGTCCTCGCCGCGTGGGGCGACTCGGACACCGTGGGCTACCACGGCGAAAACTTCGCAAAGGGGCAGGTCGTCATGTTCGGCGGATCGGAGAACGATGATGCCGCCGACCCGGTGGTCGACGTCAAGACTAGCGAGGACGTTCAGTTCTTCGATGCGGCGCCGGTGAGTCGCAGGGTGGGGACAAGAATGAGTTGGCCCCGGTGTAACATCCCCTTTTGTGCAGACGATAACGACGGATGCCCTGATATTCTGGAAGCATGTCTTCGTACCTTCACACGGATGGGCTGCTACGATGTCAACGTCTGGTCACCCGCCGAACACTTGAAACATCTAGCCACCCCTAGTGTCAGGAGGAACATGGTCTCTGCTCAGGGCAGGTCGCTATTGCGGGTACAGCGGCTACTGGTCGGGGTGTAGTGGTGCCACGCGATTTTTTTATCGCTATACCGTATATGACACAAGATAACACACCCCCTTGGCCGATTTTCAAAGCTCGATTTCTCAACAGCAGGAAGAGTCACAGCGCCGAAAACGGCGGCGTTGGAACCGTCTCGTCGAGAGCTGTTCGAAAACGTATTGTTTCATTTATGCATCCTCTTCGTCGTGGAGTAATCGAGCTTTGAAAATCGGTCCAGGGGGTGTGTTGTCTTGTGTCATGTACGGTATATACAGGCCATGTCGCCACACAGGGGGTCGCCTACCCAGATCCACCACTGTAAAGACAATGTGCTGCCTGAACGTCAACATCGAGGTAGAGGTACACGAGGAAGGTCGCGTTTCCGCCCCTCTCACAGAAACGTATATTTGACGTGAACGCGTGGGCTCTGTGTGGTCTCGTGACAATACAGAAGGCTTGCAAAATACGGCACCGCCAACATGCAAAATAGCGGACCATGTTGGGTGCATCAGAACCTGGCCCACCGCCATCAACCCTTCCACGCTTCATCCAATTCCCTGGGAACAAACTCGTCTTGCTTCTCCCGTCGCGATGTTTCGCCCGCCGCCGCGTCCGCTTTGAAAACATGCAGAAAAACTTCTCCATCCCGACTGTGCGCACCTGGTACGAGGACACTTGTATCACGGCCTCGGAACTACCAGACCTCGACGAGGTAAGTTTCGGTGAAAGCGGTAAATTTCCATGGACGCGGTAATGTTCTACGGAAGAACAAACTTTCCACGGAAGAGGAAAATGTCCGTGGAAGAGTTGATTTTCCGAGGAAGATCTAATTTTCCGTGGAAGAGGTAAGTTTCCGCGTAAGGATCGTGGTTGCACGAGAGACAGACAGTAGTGCAATCGGACCGACCGTACATTTTTCGTACTAGTACGCCGGCCCCCACTCAAAATTTCGGGGCTGCGTCACACATGGGGGGCAACACTAGCAAGCTGCCGGAGCGTCGCACGTTTTGCTTGCCACTCTGACCTAGTCCCATCGGTACATAGACTCGACACGTCCATGGCTTCTCTTCCGACCGTCAAAATTTCTTGAGCGCGTCCCTTCTTATTCTTCCCCGCCCCGTTGTTCTTGCCCTCATCCTCATGTCGCTCAACTCCTCCCCCCCCCTGGCGTTTGCCTCCCTTGACCACCGGGTTTGCCACCCACCAGTACCACGTCATCGCTTTCGAAGGCTTGCTCCAAGCCGACACGGCCGAGTACGTGCATCACCTCGTCTTGACCGGGTTTTATGGTGCATCTGACTGCGGGAACGCCTGCAACGAGTGGCTGGATGAAATGTTCGGGGGCGACGATAGCTCCTCCTCCTCCTCCTCCTCCTTCTCCTCCTCCGTCGAAGGAGGAGAAGAAGGCGCTTCGTCCTCGAGCCCCTCTGGTTCCTCCTATCCTTCGGACGACTCATCGTCAGTGTCCTTCACCGAGTACTTCGAAAATCTCAACATCACCGTCCCCTCCTTCTGCAGCAACTACGGCGACTTCGCGGACATCTTCCTATGGGCTCCCGGAACGAGCAACCTAGAGCTGCCCGACGACGTCGGGTTCCTGTTCGGCAACGAATCTGGCGGTTTCAACTCCCTGAATATTCAGACCCACTACAACAACCCGGACGGGGTGAGCGGCAAGAACGACAGCTCCGGCGTGCGCGTGTACTACACCGAGGAGCTGCGGCCGATCCAGATGGGCGTACTGAAGCTCGGAGATCCGTTCGTCGCCCTATATGACCAACCCTTGCCGGAGGGCAAGTCCAGCTTCTCGTTTGGTTGCCCGGGTACTTGCTCCGAGACAAACTTCGAGGTATGTAGGCGCAAACAGAGTTGTTGTCGCTGTTTGTCGCTGCTGCTGTTGTTGTTGCTGTTGGCTTGACATAAAAATAATCGTTCCGGTCCCCTCTCAGTACCTTCTACGATCTGTACTAGTCCAACTGACACAGACGCCTTCCCTCGTCACAGAGTGCGGGGTCTTTGTTTGGTGTGTACGTGAGGTACGGCGCGCTCGTTTTCGGTCTGTACTCTACGGGGTCTCTTGATATGTGATAGGGAGAAGGTGTTGATACGTCGGGCCCCCTCGGTGCTCCGCATGGCATTCTCACTACCTCTCTCTTCTGTGGGCGTGGGTAATGTACGCGCCGCTTGAATCAACAACACATCTCTCTTCTCTTCAGGTGGCGCCCGTGCGATGAACCGTTGCCCACGCGACATGCCGGGAAGTTGTAACAATACCGATCCCACCCACAAGTTCCTCCCTGCCTACCTCCTCCTCCGTTGTCTCTCTCATCGTGCTTGATATTCCGTCGAAACACAATAATGTTTGGTTTATTTTTTGTTGTTCCTCAGGAAGAGGAGGTTACCATCTTCAATCACGTGCTCCACATGCACGAGAACGGGCAGCGGATGGTGACACACCAGTACCGGGACGACGGCGAGGGCAACGAGGAGCTGATCCACACGACCGAAGTCGGGTACTACTCCTTCCTGCAGGCCGGCGCGCACGTCGTAACCGTCAACGGCAGCGCCACCATCAAAGTGCGTGAACCGGATGATTATGTGATGACATCTCAGACTTTCTCGACGAAACGGCGGGATGGTGATCATAGTGCCTCAGACTTGCTTCACGAGCGAACGGCATGATGATGATATGTAGTTTCTCGGGACTTCAGTCGTGCGTAGATCCATCCCCAACTGGCGTCGACTTATGAAATCTCCTTCCGTGGTCAGGTTGGTCAAGAAGGGCAACGCTACAGTACGACCCCTGGATCCTGGTGTACGCCGAAGGGACGAGTCTCAGGTTTTACCTTCACCCCGCCAGTCCATCCCAGGTTGTCCGAGAAATAGACCACCGTTCCATCGGTCGACGCACTTACCGTTGGGGATATTCGGTTTGAGCCTGACCCCGCTTCCACCCGTCCCTGCGCGCCTACGCTCGAATTTTTCCAGAAAGGAGACAGTTTCACGACGCAGTGCATGTACGACACGTCTCTCTCTTCGGTTGACCCGGCCAACGTAACGTTCGGTGAAGGGTCGGAACAAGAAATGTGAGTGGGTCTGGAATGGAACGGCGTTCATCCCAGGGTCAGGTATTCACGGAGGAGAGCGGTACCGCGGGAGGTTTTCGTGTTTTCCCAAGGGGCCAAGCAGGGCGATATTTTCCTCGGAAGACTTAGCACGGAAGGGGCCGGACATTTTTTTCGTTAAGCTGATACGTAATGTCGCAGAGCGGAAACTAAAACGCTCCGCTTCGTATCCAAAACGTTGTCAATAACCACTCCGTGAACACCGCAACTGCTGTTACAACGCACACCCTCGTCTGTCGACCCCGAGTTCGTCCAGATTTCATCCGTCCCCTTGGCTGCCATGTGATGACGTCGCTCGGTCGCTTTACTTGTTGTTGTTTTCGTAGCCGCTCACGTTTTGCCGATTGCTAGGGCCCCGGCTTGACAGAAATGAACTAGGAGGTATTGTTCCCGAGCCGTTGTCCGAGTGTTTCGTTTTCGAACACCTTTCGACCCTTACGTGAGCGTCTATGCAGACACTTGCTTCTTTTAACTCTGCCCACTAACGACTCCTCCTCTCCTCTTGTGCGTTGGACGACGCGCAGGTGCATCGACTACATCTTCTACTATCCTGATCAGAGACTGCCAGACGGGGGAGCGTGCGGGGTCTTCGCGTGCGATGGCGGCATTCTGGGCTATGCGGAGCTGGAAGCCGACTCCGACTTCAACCGCACGTTCGGGATAGTGGACACGTGCACCTCGAGCTTACCGGGGGAGGAGGTGGGGCGCAACACGGATTCCTTGTCAGATTCGACCGATTGTACATGACGAAGTATTAGAGAAATAAACCTGTATCGAAAGCTGTACCGATGGGCGTGCAACGAAGAACACGATGAGGTTCCACACACCACGAACGAACGCGCGAGGGTGAACCGCTGGACCGTAGATAGTAGGTGTCGATTTTCTAGGGGTTCTGTTGCCCTTGTTCTCCGAGCAGTAAGGGTTTTTGTTCATCATAAATGCGTCCTCACCCGTTCAGGCCTTAGGTACGTTTTGTCTTTCCCTGCTCCCCGGCTAGGTCCTGAACCCCACTGACAATCCCACCCCTCGCATATCGCGTGCCACTGGTCAGCACGTGCTAATATCCCCCCTTTCCCCCCACGCAACACCACGCCTCTTGGTTCTCAGGAGGGAAGCGACTCAAGCTCCTCGTCACGTGCGGCCCAGCCCCTGCTCGGACTGATGTTTGCGGTTTCCACTGTCATCGCAGCGCTCTCGCATGAGATTATCATGCCGTAGACTAGTAGCTGCCTGCAGAACACCTCGCCAATGGGTTCAGAATGCGTTTTCGGCTTGAAAAAGAAGTGGGCAATGTTTGTGTTGAGTCGGTGCCATGTCATCTATTCGAAGCGTGTGGCGTCAGCACGCTCATGCCATATCATTGGGTGAAGAGTTGTTTTATGATGCGCTGTCAATTTGCCGCCAAATTGCTGGCGTGGCCCGGGTGGTTCGCTGCCTTCGCAAGGGTCCACAAGTGACCCATGAAACGTTTTCCTGTCGTTGGAGATCAAGGATTAGGAGGTAGGACATGCAGTTGATAGAGGCGCGTTCATCACACCAACCACAATCACGTTGCACGCAAACGCACGTGTCTGTTGTCCATGCGTACGGGATTTCGGAGCAATTGCAGTACGTCGGTGGGTTAGGTGTCTTGGCTAATGTCAAGGCCGCTCAAGACCGAAACTATTCGTATTGTTGTGCTCCACTTTTTTTGAGTCACTCAGTACCTTCTAGTATCCGTTCTCGTCCAGCGGACCGACGGTCATGCACGGTTGGTTGAATTTATAATTTGTGAAGCTCTTTCCAAACGCCAGGATCGATTACGACTCGCTTGGGGAGTCCCAGTCAGGGGCCATGCCGAGTCGGCCCTTCATGGGTCATGATTGTTGAAAGTCAGTCTTGTAGGGGAGAGGCTAGGGAGGCTAGTCAGAAAGCCTTCCCCTCGTCGATATTTTTAGTCACATTTCAATTGGGTGGGGTGCGGACAAAGTCCGGGTTTCGGCTCCGGTTTGGACTCTTCTCACCAACGGGCACGAGAACAATTCTGTACGGTGTACGCTCAGGCTAGGGTGCGGCAAGAAGTTTCGTGTACATAGAATAGATGTATGTCTCAACAAGGGTGTACGCATAGTCTACTAGGGGTAAGGATTGGCCCCCCGCCCCCCAATGGGGCTGGGGGCCAACATCCAGGACGGATGGTGGTGAGTGTCCGGGAGGAAGGAAAGAAGAAGAGGGGAGAGAATTTTGTAGGGGCGGGAAGAAGGGACGGTGTTGGGAGAGGCAAGGAAGTGGTGAAGAATTTCGGCACTCGACGAGCGCGCGGTCCCATCGGGGGTGAAAGGGACATGTCAGTCCGTAGGATTGTCTATCGGAATCGAAAAGCCGAAAAATCGAGGTATTATACATTATGTACATAACGATGGAGTAGGTCGACGAGGAAGATACGAAGAGAGGAAATTGCACCCCACATTCGAAGTTCGAAGTCGGTGTGAAAACCGCGGCAAGGAAGGAGTGCGAAGGAAAAAGAAAAGAAAAGGGGACGTCGACGTTTGCGTCGTGGAACGATCCTTCCGTATAGCGCAGGTACTCACCAATGTAAGACGGGGAGGTAAAATACCCATCGTGAAAGTCAAACCGCAGGTCATAACCGCATATGACTCATGCGCGGAGAAATTACCACGGAGACTTATCAACAAGAAGTTTGAAGGGCGGCTGAGAAGGTTTGAAGACACATATACTTAAACGACGATGGCAAGCGCAAAGTCAAAACTTAAACTTCACAAGAAGAAAAATGCATACAAAAAAGAAAAGGCCGGATGCCGACCTATGGCTCTCTCGGAATGAAGGGATTCCCACAAATTCCAACAGATCATCCACAAATAAGTAAGTACGGACATATGAGGGTACTGGGTAGAGAGAGATCGGAACGGTTTTTAATAATGTGAAGACACAACAACAATGACGAAGGTCGACCCGTCCTGCGTCGTTCGGTGTAAAATGATAAATAAGTGCGAAAGATGGACTGCGTAAAGATCCAGCGGTCTTTTTCGGCAGTGGCAAAGAAATATGCAACCACATGTCGAAAAAAAAAACAAGTTGAGCGGGATACCGTACGACATAGAACACCGCCTTCTCTGTTGCTGCAGGCAGGTTTGCTTCCACAACCCGGGAACCAAACCCACTCTTCTTGTATTTCGGCCTACAAGACTCCAATCGACGCAAGCATCGGTAGGAGAGTGCATGGCAGATGCCGTACAGCACAACTCCACTCTCCTACGACATCTATGTACAGTTAGTTGTACTGCTGTCGTTGTAGCACCATGTGGAAGATCTCCGAGGGGTCCTCCTGCGCGGTAACCACAACAACATGGCGAGAGTTCTACGTGTACCTACCTGTCGTCGACACATACATACATGTGGCAGCCGCACGACACACGAACGGATGTTTGCATCGCATTGTACTATGGTTCGCCGTGGCAGGAAGTATCCCATCCAGTTAGGTCGTTGCGGTAGTACGCGGACGTCGTTCGGCGTCTAGTCCATACTGCTGTAGCAAAAACACAGCAGTAATTGAGCTACAGTATGCATGCAATTTTTTGCTCTGGTTCACTTTTGCCTCCACAACCCGAGAATCTCACGGCTGTATCTCGACCTACAAGACTCCAATCAACAAACCAGCACTGGCAGAAGTGCGTGAAAGATGCTATGACAGCACAACTAAGTCGACACTCGTGCGACTTCTATGTACAGTCGCGTCTGATCCCATACTGCTGTAGAAATGTGGAAGGTTGTGTTGTACAACCTGGTGTTTTGTCAGAACGGTTAGAAAGATCAAAGGGGGCACCGTAGGTAAGAGAGAACTAGGGTTAAGTATTGGCCCCCCGCCCCCCAATGGGGCTGTGGGCCAACATCCAGAACGGATGGTGGTGAGTGTCCGGGAGGAAGGGAAGAAGAAGAAGAAGGGGAGAGGATTTGTAAGGGCGGGAAGAAGGGACGGTGTTGGGAGAGGCAAGGAAGTGATGAAGAATTTCGGCACTCGACGAGCGCGCGGTCCTGTCCGGGATGAAAGGAACATGTCAGTCCGTAGTCTTGTCTATCGGAATCGAAAAGCCGAAAAATGGAGGTATTGTACATTATGTACACGACGACGGAGAAGGCCGACGAGGAAGGTACGAAGAGAGGAAATTGCACCCCACGTTCGAAGTCGGTGTGAAATCCGCGGCAAGGATGGAGTGCGAAGGGAACAAAAAAAAACGGATACGTCGACGTTTGCGTCGTGGAGCGATCCTTCTGTATATCGCAGGTACTCACCACAACGCAAGACGGGGAGGTTAAATACCCATCGTGAAAGTCAAAGCGCAGGTCATAGCTGCATATATATGACTCATGCGCGGAGAAGTTACCACACGGAGACTTATCAACAAGAAGTTTGAAGGCCGGCTGAGAAGGTTTGAAGACACAAACACTTACGCGGCGACGATGGCAAGCGCAACGTCAAGACTTCACAAGAAGAAAAGTGTATACAAAAAAAGAAAAGGCCGGATGGCGACCTATGGCTCTCTCTCTCAGAATGAAGGGATTCCCACAATTTCCAACAGGTAGTCCACAAGTATCGAGGAGGACGTCGGAACGGTTTTTAATGTGGAGACAACAGCAACAACAACAACGATGAAGGTCGACCCGTCCTGCGTCGTTCAGTGTAAAATGATAAATGCAAAAGGTGGACTGCGTAAAGATCCAGCGGTCTTCTTCGGCAGTGGCAAAGAAATATGCGACCACATGCCGTGAAAAAAAAAAAAGTTGAGCGGAATTACTCTATTATAGTAAATAGAACACCGCCTTCTCTGTTGTTGCAGGTTTGCTTCCACAACCCGGGAGTCCAACCCACTCGTATTTCGGCCTACAAGACTCCAATCGACACAAGCACCGGTAGGAGAGTGCGTGGGAGGTGCCGTGACATCACAACTCCACTCTCCTACGACATCTATGTGTACAGTAGTACTGCTGTCGTTGTAGCATGCATGTGGAACATCTCCGAGGCGTCCTCCTGCGCGGTAACGACATCATGGCGAGAGCTCTACGTGTACCTGTCGTCGACACATGTGGCAGCCGCGCGATACACGAACGGATGTTTGCATCGCATTGTACTATGGTTCGCCGTGGCAAGAAGTATCCCATCCCGTTAGGTCGTTGCGGTACTTGTAGCACGCGGACGTCGTTCGGCGTCTAGTCCATACTGCTGTAGCAAAAACACAGCAGCAGTAATCGAGCTATGCATGAATTTTTTTGCTCTGGTTCACTTTTGCCTCCACAACACGAGAATCCCACTGCTGTATCTCGACCTACAAGACTCCAATCAACAAACCAGCACTGGCAGAAGTGCGTGGAAGATGCTGTGACAGCACAACTAAGTCGACACTCGTACGACTTCCATGTAAAGTCGGCGTCTGGTCCATACTGCTGTAGAAATTCAAAGATCGAGCCATTTTTTTTTTTATTTTTTTCCATACTAATAACAAGAAATGTGTCACGTCACGACGACCATCTGTTTGGGTGCGGTAGCCCGTCAGAGGCCGAAAGAGAAAGAAGGTTGACTCAAGACCTTTGTTGATTAGAGAGTGAGAGACATGCGGTAGGCAACACCATCGCCATGCAGCATGCCCATCAACACATTTCATCCGCGTACCCCCCGGAGGCCCCGTAGACAGTATACTCTGCCGAGCACCCCAAACAGCCCCCCTGCTCGGTACGAGATACGATCTACGAAATCCCCGCCACGATTATCATTGCCAGGTAAAACGGCGATGAATCAAACTACGCATCCAAACGGAAATCATCCACCATTCATTCCATTTCAAACAATTTCCCAATAAAACAATGTTCTACGAAATCTGTCGATCTCCCAATAAAACATGCTCTACGAAATCTTTCAAATCTTCTGATGATATCAAATAACTATCTCCTAAAAGGTCTGTCAATAAACAGTTCACCCTCTTGAGAAAAATGCTTTACCAAATTCTCAAGAAGTCAAAACACAAACAAATACCCTTGGAAAAATACCCAGCAAAGATACACATTACATCAGAATCACGTCAGAACGGGGACGGGTGACTCCGGGAAAATGTGTCCAACGTCCTGACTTACTCAGAACAAATTCCTCAGATAAACATTCATGTTTCAACTCATTGACCAGCTCAAATAACCTTCGGAAGCACAAAGGCTTCAACCATGACTTACGAGAACATGCCAAATCCTTCCTCCAATACCCAATACCTTGACAAACATACCAGTCCAACAGCCCCCCTGCTGTAAACATCCATCCATCCCAAACACGATGAAACCAAACAAACAAGTCCAAAACAAACATGAAGAAACCAACAAATCCAAAACAGACAATCAACAATCCAGCAGCCCCCCTGCTGGGCCATCTCATACGAACGCAACGAAAATCCCATTCAATATTCAATTCCATGTCACCTCCGCAGGTAAAACGCGGAGAACGATCCAAACATGAACTAACTACCCAAATCCCATAAACCAACATCAGTTCCATATAAAATCCCCAGGGAAAACACGGAAAATCTCAACATGAACTACCAAACCCGATGTCAGAAACACTACTTGTTGTGCTGCGGCGGACAGCATGGTATCACATCCCCCCCTCCATGATTTCCGACAGCAGTGCAACAATCAGGCGTGATTCCGCAAAATCCAGCATGCCAATTCTGCATCCAACTTCATCAACTCCAAACCGAAACAAGAAAACAAAACATATCAAAGAAAAGGCGTCACACGTCCAGCACATACCAGTCTGCCGTACAGGCCTACTTGAGAAGGAAAATTGCTACTCCGCAAGGATTGACTCGTCGGGTACGGTACATCGGAGGGACAGAGAAACGGTGCGTGCCCCCCAACGTCTTTACCCAGCACGTCGAACGCCAAGCCAATGCCTACTACATATATCCAGTACCATCAGAAAAACATAGAGAGAATGTGA